CCACCTGACTCTGGGCTGTGAAAAGTGCAACTTCTGCCTACATTTTAAAAGTAAGGAACAAAAAAACCACAGAAGTCTGGAAGTTAAATCATGGCAACAGGACTTCTTTTCTTGTTGCTTCAAAACATTTTGCTGCTTATCCAAGTAGCTTCTTCAGCCTGAACAAGTTGGTTAGGAGAAACCCCCAAAAAACATATGCAGTGTCAAACTAACTAACTTGCTCAGAGTGAAGAAAAAGCAGGAAAAGTACTCGGAAAAGCAAGAAAACAAATAAGCCCAGTTACCATGACTCAACTTCCAGACAACTTGGCCTAGATGATTAAGAACCTTCACTGACTATAAAAACAGAAGAAATAGTTCATGAATGTCTGGAATGCTCACCCCAGGAGAAACAAATTGGGGCTCAGTAGTATCTTCAGGCCTAGGAGTAAAGCCAAGTTTTCAAAGACTTTTGGAAAATGCTTAGGATGGAACACATAAAGATCTCTGGGGATGCTGTTCCAATCCAGAGCCAATGGACAAATCTAAGGCTTATTTTTGTGTAACAATACAGACTGCCAATCTAAACATGTATTCGTTCACTTTTGCCAATTTTTTTGACACAGTTCTTTTATGACCATTGCTTCAGCTTTCCATTCGTTTCCAATTATTGGGCATTATCTGTTATCACACTTTGTATTGAGGGAATATATCACTTAGTATCTTTACATACTTGATTTGGACCATTTTATAAACCTCTCAATGTTCATGCAGCCTGCACAACTACTACATGCTAACAGATTTAAGAAGAAAATTCTTGCCTTTACCCTGGACACGATTCTATCTCTAGCATACTTCCTTCCAACATCAAACAGCCTTTCTCTTGTATGTCAACTACTTTAGTTTTACATTTCTTTCCTAATATCATGTATGTTCAATGGTTCCCAATATCAGTGGCACTTGCATTGGAGCAAAATGGACAAGTGGACATAATCTGAACCACATCCTTTTTTTATGCACACACAATCTTCAATGCATGTAGAAAAGGATGGGGCTGGGATTGGCATGCCTCGTCCATGAATTTGAACCTTCTGAACTACCCTGCACAGATACTACTATTTAATATTCTACTATTGTACATTGTATTCAGAGAACATGCTATTTGTATCTTCTTTTCTGACCAGTAACAATTTTTATGATTTCTCAATGTCCATAAAACTTGCATGAGGACCAAGGCAAGCTGTTGGCAACTATTAGGAGCTAACAGAAGTCTTAAGCATCAAGTTAGCGATAGCAGCCTTCTTCTCAGGATCCAGTGAGACAGACCTAAATCCTCTCCACTTCAATGCTATGTAACAGGAACTTTTTTTCATAATAGCTTGGATAGTTTATCAATATTCAGAATGAAATCTACATAGCTAACCCCCATGCTGAATACAGAAGCAAAAAAGTACCATTGATTAAGCTCTGTCTAAAAGCATCACAAATCAACTTTACACTTGAGCTTTCTTCATTAACCAGGCCCTTAAAACAGTATTTAGATATCAAGGAAAAACAGGCCAATGGGCTACAATCTGGAGGAACAATAGAGTACTCTGTATTCTGTGTCCACAATCCCAGCAGGTCTACCTCCACCAGCCCTCCTCCTCCCACCTCTCAGCAAGGTTGGTGGCTTACTCACTTCTTCTGGAAGGCCAAGAGGAGTCTTGGATCAAGAATATTCTCTTCAGGTTCCCAGCTGTTGTGCCTAGAAAAGAGGGAAATCACTCACTACAATATATACTCTGCTTTCTTACAACATACAATTCACAATTAGAGGTTTTGTTTATTGTAGGACTGCATTTTGAGGCAAAGCCTATCAGAAGCGCACGACACACTTTGGCTCTCCCTAATTTTTGGAGTTACTACAACTCCTATGACCCCCAACATGGAAGCACTCCTGCTCCGCTGGCTATGAGTAAGGAGAGCTGCAATTTAATCAAACCAGACTGCATCAGAGGGAAAGCTGGCTTGAAAGTAGTAATTAATTAAAGACTGTCTTGGCCAGTGGAGGACCTAAGCAAACTTGAATAGTAATAAGCACTAGTTTAATTCTGGGATGAAACCTGAATTTTTTTTCCAGCAATTCATTGAAATGTTTTGTGCTTTATGACTGGACCCGTTCAATTTACTTAATGGAAAAGGCAGGGGGGGCGGGGGGGGGGGGGGGGGGGAGGAGTACACTGAGATGCATTATGAATAACTTGGGCACGTGTGTGGGGAGGGGGACTGGGGTGTAAGAAGAGAAGTCAAGCAGGAAAAGGATAAAAGCAGGGGGGAAAGTCTGGCTTTCAGGAGCAGCTGGCAGGAGGGGGTAAAGGGAGAAGCTCCCCCTTTCATCTGACAACCCCTTACCCCTTCTTCTGCAAGTGGGGCGGGTGGGGCGCGGAGGGGGGCCCCCACATGCATGAGCGGGAAGATCGGGGTTTCAGAAGCGGATCAACGGGGAGCAAAGGACGATTTTTGCCATTTCTGCGGAGGAGCCTTTACGCTACTCCAGGGCTCTCTATGCCGCCGCCCCCCGCTTTTTTTTTTACAACCCTGGAGAAGGAAAGGCGGGTCCCGCGGACTTCAAGAGAAGTTGGTTTTTAGCAGAAGCGGCAAAAAGCGACACATGGAAGCCAAGCAGGGGAACCGGCAGAGCGACCCCCATCAAGAATCGGCGCAAATTTTTTAAAACTAATTACTAAGTAAACAAAAGGTCGGACGGGATGAAACGCTCCCGGGGGAAGAGTTCAAACAAACAAACAAACACCCGCAAGAACCGAAGTAACTTCTAAGCGCCCGCAAGACCAGCCGAGGTTGAAGGCGGTTGTTTCTCCCCTCACCCAGCCCCACCGTTTCCCCAGCCCTTTTCCGCTTCGGCTGGCAGTTTGCAGCCGCGCCGCCCGCCCGGGTCTTGTTTTCGCCCGAGTCCCATCATCCCCAAAGCCCCTCAAGCCCCGCCCTGGAGCCCCTCAGCTCAACGGCTGGCTTGGCGCTCAGCTGCTCGCTTCATTGTCCGACTCACTTGGAAGACCAGCCTCTCCACTTCACCAAATACTCCAGCTTGCCCTGTGAGGAGGGAGAGGCGGGGGGGGGGGGGGGGGGGGGGAGGGGGGGGAAGGGGGAAAAAAAAAAAAGAAGAGGCGCGTTAGAGGAGGGAAGCCGAGGGCGGCAGCAAAAGCAGCGGCGCCGTCGCCCGCCTCGCTGGCCCACCTTGCGAAGCCGCTTGCTGAGGATGCACTCGGCGGCGAAGACCTGCTCTCCCACGCTGCTCAGCTCCTCCATGGCGGCCGACTGGCTCCGCTCGGCTCCCTCTTCCTCGGCCGCCGCCTCCGCTTCTTCCGCCAACACTGACTTGCTCTTCGCGGAGCCAGCGTTGTGCCCGCACAAGGCTTAGAGTCCTCGGGAGCGCGCGCTCCCCTTCGCCCGCCGCCGCCGCCGCCGCCCCCAGTTTCGGCGGCAACGCGCGCCCGCCCCCTCTCCCTCCCTCCCTCCCTCCCTCCGACGCCGAGAGCTCCACTTCGAGCGCACACAATGCAACGCGCGCGCAACCGGCTCCGCCTTCCCACGCCCTGCTCAGGGGCTCCCCAAATTCCCGGTTAGCCAATGAGAAAGGCGGGAGGCGGGGCTTGAGAGCTTGTGGCGGAGAAAGGGAAGCCGAGCTTCGCCTATTGTTTCTTGCGTCGCTTTCTTGGGTCTCTCGACGGCCGGGTTGCTGAGGGCTAAAGCTAAAGGACCGAGTTGGGGGAGGGGAGAGGAGGGGGGGAGGTCGTTTCTGAAGTTTAAACCTTGAGAGAAGAAGGACGCTTGCCTGGCCCGGCCCAGATCCGTGTGGCCGCGCCAGAAATCGGCTCTCGAATAAGTTGAAACATTTCGACGGGTTTCGATTTTTTCAACGCTCTCAATGAGCCTTCGAAGCTTCTTGGTTTTAGAACGCCGGGAATCGAACTTCTTTTCATCCGGTGCGGGAATTCCTAACGACGGCTCTTCTGCATTTTTCGTAATGCGCGCCGTTTTGAAAAGTGGTAACTTTCATCCTCGTTCTTCATTTTCTCACGACTCTTAAGAGAGTAAAGTAGAATCCAACTCCTGACTTTATCTCTGGCCTCCTACGGGGTGCTTTCTCAGCTTTTTTTTGGTGCAGCATCTATCCTGGAGCGCTCAGACAGTCTCCCATCCTAACCCGTAGTGGGACCCTCTTAACTTGTCTTGGATTTGTCACCCAAGGGACAAATGATTTCGTCAGGAAATCAGTCAAGAAATGCAGCAGTGTTCAAAAATTAAAGTTATTATTTCCCCCCCCCCCCATTATTTGAATTAAATGTTTGAAAATAAGGCTTTCGAGAAAGGGAAAAGAAACCAAATACAAGTTTCTACAATGTCCATCTGCTTCAGCATTGCTGAGAAACAAGTATGGTGATTTTAATGAGGTGCTGTGGAATAATTGAGTTGTAAATTATGAGCTGAACAAGTGGATCTTGTCTGAAAGTCTGAGGATGAATTTAGATGGAAGTTGGATACATGAAATCGAGCATAGATAATTTCATTATATTTTGACATGGGATCCTCCTGGAACGAATAATAAATTGTCTGTAGATACATGATTCAAATAATCAAGATTGGATGAATTTTGGCACGTGCAGCAAAAAAGTGTGTCAGAGGGGTGTATCTTCTTGATTTTGCCTTTAAAAAAAAGAATGCAAAAATTCACAAAAAATTCTCTGATCACCATGGATCTGGCAGTGCTATAAGACAAATACAACGATCTGAGACACAGATCCTCATATTTTTTCAAGAACTCCATTATTAATAACCGATCACATCAATTTTATGGATGCTAGAGTTTAGGAAACAGATTTTTTGACATTTCCCTGTTACAAAATTCACAGATCATCAGTTGGCATGCAAAGAATCGTGTCATCATGCAAAATGGATTCAACTCAAAAAGTTCATTTTATTGTTATGTATTTTACATGGGATGCACATAAAATCAGTATCAGATATAGTATGTCTACATGCACTGAACTTTAGTAATCAATAATCTATTTTATCAAATACTGATTTTAAAGAATGGATCCTCTTGATTGTGTATAAATTCTATAGGTGATTCATATGAAACCATCATTAGATCACATCCATTATATTGAAGATTCCTTCAAAAATTTGTATCCAATTGTTCTGTCATCACTATGGCACAAAAACATAGATGTGATGTATAGATCTTCACAGAACCACATTTTTTATCTGCAATCCTCATGAAACCACAATCACATTAGTTACACCCATTTACACATAGGAACCCAACAATTTTGGAGGTGCTATATCACTAAAATATAGAGATGAGTCATTTAGCTTTGTGGATCAACATGATTTCACAAGGGATTCCCATAAAGCCAACATAAATTCAGAAATATTTGCAAACAATGAGTCCATCATAATCACACTTTCAAAATTTGGAGTCACCAGGTTCCCAAAATGATTGCTATTCAAGTTACAGAACTACAGTATAAGGGTCCATTTGATTTAATGTCTTATCAAATCATATGTTGCATTTTAGGATTTAGTGCATTGGACAATAAAAATCTGAAGATTTTTGTGCCAGAAAACCATGAACTGAAGTCATTGGATCAATTTAATTATACATGGTTTGTACATATGATTCACATGCAAGAACAATAAAATCCATGTTCCTCTGCATTCAATGAGCCTTTAAAGCTATGGATCAAATAGGTGCCGGCATTGCTTTGGTACAAAAATAGGGATCTGCATTCACAGAAGTTTCATATGAGATCTTCAGGACACCAGAATTAAATTATAATTGATCTATAGGAATATTCATCTGCACACAGAATCCCTACAATTTGGATTTGATTGTACACAAATTCAGATCTGAAGTGATAATCTTCATGTAACTATCTGATTGTAGAAGGTATTTGTCTGAACAAAATAAATAATCACAATCACAAATTTACTACCAAAGGTGCCAAAGTAGCAATAAAATAATACAAGGTATAAATTCCAGGGAGGGATACACATTTCATTCCCCCCCATAAGGAATCTGCCTGAATCTAATCTAAAATATGTATCACGTATACCTGAAGGTTAGTAAGAAGAAATAAAAAGACAAATCTATGTTTAAATGATTCCTTCTGTCCAAACGATGTCATCTATTATTTGACAATGATTTCATGCAAATTCCTTACAACATTCATGGTTTTTGCATATGATAGTTTTGAAAATCCAGATGCATGGTTATGATGACTCATACTGATTTGCACATGGGACCTCTCTGGATCTGATATAAAAACATGTATTATATACACATAAAAATAAGAGTAAAAATCATAAATCTGCAATTCAATATCTCATTCTTGCTGACATAATCTGTCATATGAAAGTTGATTCTTAAAAATCATATAAAAGAATATAAATGAAAAAGTATAAGTTATCCTTACTGAACTTCAAATTGAACCTACTTGGTTAACATACTACACATTAATTAGCTACAAACGAGACACAATTATTAAATTGCTAGAGAACAAGCTGAAATATCATTCCTATAGAAAAGAAAACCCAAATCTCAGATGTGACACATCACAGATAACATTATATGAATAGTTCTATACCAAGAACAATTTCCAATTGGAAGTAAATTCTATGTCATTTAGATAGCAAATTATTCTTCACATTAAAGGATATGCATATGATGGTTAATTCATGAAAATCTTGTGTAAAAACCATATCAGCCCATGAAGATTCTCGTAGGTGCATGCATGTGTGTGTGTGTGTGTGATGTGTATGTGATAGCAGGATGCCAACCTTGAAATTTATGATTACATTGGCTCATGCAGATAGATATGAATTTAAATGCTGGTCTGTGACCATAATAAAAATTGATTGGTTGTTTGGTATGAATTTTCCAAGCAGTTTTACCTTTCCTCCAATTTTGAAAAATTAGTCACTTCTGCATGACCACACAGAATATGGAGACTTTATTTTAAATCATTGCAAGAAGTTCCACTGTAGTTCTTAAGAAAGAATGACCAAAGATCTATAAATTATATTTGTTTATGTATTATTTATTTATTAAATTTATATGGCATCTATCTCACTGATAAGGCTTCTCAGCAATTTCACCATGTATACTCTACTGTTTGATACTCTGGAGCATTAATTTTGTAACCTTCATTCAGGATATTAAGAGTAAAAAATGGGGGAGAAATGGAAACAACAACAACATGAACAACATCTTTTGAAGCTTTTGGATTTTCTCAAATGGGTGACTGATTCCCTCTTCCCCAGCTGCCATTACCAAGCTCACATAAAAGGCCCAGTCAAGTAATTCTTTATCAAATCAAAGCAAGACCTTCTTCTTGAAAGTCTCTTAAAAATTTAGGATGAGGAGGTCGGATTTGACTTTGATGTCAGGAACTCTTTTTGATGTAAAATTTTCTTTTACATCTATTTTCATCAATTACAGGCTGTAAAAATAATTCCTAATAGTACCATACCTCCTCAAAATGATTGCCTTATTACCATCTCAAGGCTTTTCCCCACACCCCTGGCAAGATGCAATCCTCTTGTCCTTGAACAAAAGGAGGTAAGTAGGTTACTTGGAAAACTGCTTCCTCCACAGCTTTTCCTTTGTTACACCTTTAAAAGAGGCTGACAGAGAGACAGTGATTTACTGCTGCCGCCAGATGAATGGAAAAGGGAATTCTTCTCCTACTCTGCTGGCTCCTTCCTTCCCCCTCTCATTAGCCAAGCCTGGATCCTCTGCCCTCCACTCCCCCATATTTTAGTTCCATGCTTGTTGGAGAGCCCCACCATTGGGCAAAGTGTGAATCTTTCCAAGAACAGTGGCTAGTTGTAGCTGTTGGTGTTGGGAGCAGCATTCTGTGTACCTAGTAGAAAAGTACCAAAGTAGCAGTGGGGTATCCCAAGGTTCAGTCTTAGGCCAGCTCTCTTCTATATCTTAATAAACAATTTAGATGAGAGAATAGAAGGGGAACTCGGATAACACCAAGCAGGCAGGAGCACCCAACAAGATAGAGTCAAGATCTAGAAAGATCTCAACAGACTTGAACACTGGGTCCTATCTAACCAAATGAAATTCAATATAGAGAAAAGTAAGATTTTAACACTTAGGCAAGAAAAAACAAATGTACAGGTATAGAATGTGTGGAACCTGAATCAATAGCAGTAACCGCGAGAGGGATCTTGGAGTTCTAGTGGACAATCACTTAAATATGAGCAAGCAATATGCTGCAGCCACCAAAAATGCAATGCAATCCTATGCTGCATTAACGAGGGGATAGAATCAAGATAAGTGTTAATTCTGTTTTATAATGCCTTAGTAAGACCACACGTGGAATACTGCAGCTAGTTTTGGTTATTACAATATAAAAAAGATGTTGAGACT